CACGCACGCACGCACGCACGCACGCACGCACGCACGCCCGCACACACGCACGCACGCACGCCTTTATATTAAGTAATTAAACGATATAATTCATATCGCCACGGTAATAACTACAAACATTTCTTTCGTTACTCGTGAAATACCTTTGCGCTTCTCTAGTTATACACGCAGCTTACCTAAACTACAATTATCGAACGTCACTGCTGGAACGGCGTGTCCTACCAGGACGATCGGTGGCAGTTCCTCTATAAAGCTGTCCCGAACGTCAAGTGACACAATCGGTGTATCATACGTGATTACCTGTAAAGTAAAGAGGCGTATCCAGTAATTGATATAGACAAGAGAGCGAAATGTACCTGGGCTGCCGAAGGCACCCCCGTTTGCCGTATGCACGCCAGCGCTAGGGGTGTGTGGGGGCATGCTCCCCCAGAAAATTTTGAAATATTTAAGCCATTTTCCTGCAATCTGAGGCATACTGTCGGCCATATTCTGATGTCTGATGACACTATCTCAACTCAAGACTCAACAGTACAATTTAGTATTTAAAACACTTTTCATTGAGCGTACTTTCAAAAACGACGTACGTAAAAACGACTTTACGACGTACGTACGACGACGGATATACGACGTACGTCATAAACGACTTTCCAGAAAGCGTACACACCTGCGGTTACGTTACCATAGTAAGTAGTAAGTATGTTACTATAGGATTTATTGATTTTTTTCTGGGCCTGCAAACGGAGGGCATACGCCGATTCAGCCCTATGCTGGATACGCCACTAAAGTACGCAAGTACGTGTAAAGTACGTGTAAAGTACGTGTAAAGTACGTGTAAAGTACGTGTAAAGTACGTGTAAAGTACGTGTAAAGTACGTGTAAAGTACGTGTAAAGTACGCGTAAAGTACGCGTAAAGTACGTGTAAAGTACGTGCACACCCCGGACATAATGGTTACGTGGAGGAGACTTGACTATGTGTGTAATTAGATACGTGTATAGGAGGTGGTGATGTTTCTAACAATCACAGCAATCTATAGCATGAACTCTGAGCTAGGTTATAAGATGAGGTAGTTTATAGGTACTATATATATATATA